GGCTTGTTTTACAACGTCGTTGCCAAGCGACGAAAACCCAACCCCGATGGTAAACACCGGGGGGGGTGGGGGGGGCGTACTAATGTGAATGCGTGTATTTGTTGTTTGACCACGGGCCAATCGGAAGGGGGGGGGGGGGGCCCATCACCGCGGAATCATCATCCAAAGGGGTCCCGCCCACTGAGAATACCGCGGAGGGGGAGGGGGGTCTTGGTTGTCGCGTACCTTGCAGTGTCTAGCGCATTGACCAGGCATCTCATCGGAGACGGAAGGGGGTGTACACTGCAGAGAGAAACCGCAAAGTTCCGCCGACGTTTCTCGCACCTGAACCACCTCGCCGAGAGCCCCCAGCCGGAACACCGGGCCTTCCGCCATGTAGTGGCACCCCTCGTCGAAGCACTGGTAGGAGATGGAGGTCCTGGAGAAAAACTCGAAGGCCTCCGGGCTTGTGGCACGGAGCCGTTCCGCCACCGCGAAACCGTCGACGTAGATGCTCGCCCCGCCCTCTCGCGCTCGAACCACGCAGTTGAACACCTGCCCCGAGTATGTGTGTGGGGGGGGGGTGACGACCATTGAGCACTGAGGGGGAGGGGCGCGTACTCAGAGTCGTGCATGCCGTAGTCGTTAGACCGTTGACCTCGCTGCCCTACAAAGCTGGGACGGAGGTCGCCGGGTTCTCACCGGACCAGGCTCTCTCCCATAGCCAACCGCGAAGCGCCGTGAGATGTTCGGCGAGTCGCACGGAGGGTGCGCTGGGCGGGAGGCAACGGCGGAAAGAAAATTGGAGACCGAGAGTGTCTGTGGGGGGGGTTACATACATGCGGTGTTGACGCAGCAGCGCACCCCCACCCCCGAAGCTCCTACCCAGGGAAGGGGGGCGCGAAGCGCCTTCTAGACGATTGCAAAAACCACGACAACGATGTCGGAAAGAAATAACTCCCCTCTCCCAAGATGGTCCCCCTTCCCTCGCTTTAGGAAAGGTTGCTAGGATCCCCGTGCGTGGGACGAACTCAATCGTCCTTTCGTGCGGCGAGACATAAAAACGTTTCGAACATGTAGTTGTCGCCCCTTATTCTTCCCGGCGTTATTAGACATCCCTGAGCCGGTGGTGGCGCGGTCGATGCTAAGACCAGAATTGCATACACTCACGTACGGCAGGGGCCCCCGGGTCAGGCGGTCGTGGGGCAGTTGCTAAAGACAGCCTCATATACATGGGGAAGCCGTCTTACTCAAAATGCGTAGAAAGACTTCATTATTCCGCCTTTGCCAACCGCCATATATAAAGGGCAACCGGCTTTAGTCGGGGCCCCCAACTGCTGTACCTGGATTCCCGGCGGGTCCGCGAGGTACCCGCAGTCCGTGTGCAGAGCCAGGCCGTCGTTGGAGTAAGCGCTGTCCCGGAAGCCTTCCTCCCCCGCGGAGGCCTCCGCGGATGTGGCCCACATGCCGGGGCCGTACAGCGTGCTGCGCAGGTGGCCCCCGACCCTTAGCGCGAGGGCCTCGGTGCCCTTCTCGTCGGTGGGGACGCCGCGGACGAGGGCTACTCCGTGCGACCGGATGAGGTCCACCAGGCGAGGGCTCGCTCCAGGAGCGGGTGGTGGGGACGAGCCCGCCGCCGCCGCTGCCGCCGCCGCCTCCTCCTCCGGTTCGTCTAGGGCACCGTCCGCCATGACATCCTCGTAGCTCATGCATGCGGGGGGCTGTTGTTGTTGCGGTGTGCCTGCTGAGAAGACGTCCGCGCCCCACAGGACCGGGCGGGGGTGGAGACCAGGGCCATCTGCGGGCCCCCCGTGGCGCCGGCGCAGGTCTCGCGCCGTCGCCGAGGTGCAGTGCCGCCGGAGCCAGTCGATGGGGATGGTGCTGGTGTTGGTGTTCGGCCCCTCTTTGCCGTCGCGGGTGTCTTGGGGTCCCGCCGGAATATCGCCCCAGGATACTCTGAGAACGTGGGCTTGCCGGTCGGTGGTTGCGGTGCTGCCGTCGCCTCCTCTAGCATCGTCAGGGGAAGAAGGGGACGCTACCGAGGCGTTCCGCACTTGGAGATTGTTCGGCACCTGGAATGTGTCCACCTGCGGGAGGTGTTGGGACGGGATATGGAAGGAGCCGTTGGGTGTCGCGCCACCGTGGTGGCAGCAAAACATCACCGTTTGTTGCGGGGGTACTCATAGTCGTGCATGCCGTAGTCGTTAGACCATTGACCTCGCATCCCTACAAAGCCGGGACGGAGCACGCCGGGTTCTCACCGGACCAGGCTCTCACATCACC